TTCTAGTGCTGTAGTTCTGGAGAATGTAGACTACAGCTCTTTAGTGAAGAATTCTGAGTCCTTTACCAAACTACAAGTCCCAGGATTCCCCAGCCAAGGATTCCCAGATCTCTGGCCCCTATTCTCCAGTTCTCAGAGTGAAGGGGAAGAATATCAAGGCAAGAGTATCACTTTGAAAAGCTTGTGCATGCGTATTTCCTCACTTGTTAGACTTGGTGTTTTTTATTTAAATTGTATATGCCATGCAATTATGGTTGGCTTTATGCTTAATGGCATCCGCAGGGCCCACCCCACATGACTTCACAAGGGGTCATTTCCAGGTCTCAAGCTTTGGCCCCCAAATCTCAGGGCATGGGACAATCAGAATTCAGCAATCTTAGCCATGCCAGTTAATTGCACAGGATATCTGTGCAGTGTTGATGCACACTCAGTGAAGGGACAATATGGAATCATCCACTCCACAACAGGAAGGAGGCAAGACCACAGTCACAACTCACACAACCACACAAGGACCATCTAGTCAAAAACCTGCCATGCGGGAATATACAACTACAGCACTCCTGAGAAATTGTTGTTGTGTGACCATTAGGAGGATCATTAAGTGGACCTTATGGTGACCATTAGGTGGACCTATCACAAGGTTTTCTGGGGCTGAGAGTGTGTGACTCATTCAAGGTCACCCAGTGGGTTTCTATGGCTGAGCAGGAAATTTAACCCTGGCATCCAGAATCACAGTCTAATGCTCAGATCACTACACCACTGTTTAAAGACCTCCAAAGAAGTCAAGTCCATCACACACCAAGGCAGTCTATTCCACTGTCAAATAGTTCTTCCAGTAAAGAAATTCTTCATAATGGTTAGATGTAATTTTTCTATTGTAATTTGAATCCACTGGTTCATGCTCTGGTTTCTGGAGCAGCAAAAACAAACAAACAAACCAAGCTTACTTGATCTTCTACATGACATCCCTTCAGATATTGAAAGATTGTTATCATGTCAACTCTCTGTCTTCTCCTCTCCAAGTTAAACACAACCTAAGTTGTTTCTCATCGGGTTTGGTTTCCAGACCTTTGATCATTCTGGTTGTCCTTTACTGGACACTTTCCAACTTGTCAATATCCTTCTTAGAGTCAAACAAAAGGCAGCCTCCTCTGCATTTGAGGAAGTTAACACTCCTGAGAACCTTGTATTCCTGCATTAATCCCTCACAACACACAGCAGATTGGCCCTATCATTAGGCATAGTGAAGCAGATGGCTCAGGTGGCAGATGGTGGTAGGGAAGTGGTGGCAACCAACCAATCATTTCTCTTGAGTCCCCTAGCCAGTCCTCCCTGTTAGAAGACAGAGCAGTGTGTGTCATTGGACCTGCCCTGCACACACACACACAACCTACCTGCATTCAGTGCATTGAAGGACTCTGTTCTTTTGCCATTGTTTAGACTCGGCTACTGTGTCTATTTGTAGAATGAGGTAAGGTGGAAGCACCATGTTATACTTTGCCTCAGGCAGCAACATGTTTTTGGGTTGATTCCAGCACAGTTCAGGAACATGAACAATGTGGGAGACAAAGCAGGAGCTTATCAGCACAAACTAATTCTGTTTCATTAACAACAGCCCAAAGATTGGACAGCTCTGAAATAAGGAAAAAGAAATGCAGAGAAAATAAACTCTGCTGTAGATGGGCAGAAGTGCACTGAGAAATTCTGATAGCATGTGGGGTGTCCTAGATACAGATGAACCTTGCCCAGCATGGTAATATTCAGACAGTTTGGACTGCAACTCCCATCAGTCCCCGCCAACATGATCAATTGTCATTACTCTAAAACAGGGGTAGGCAACCTTTCTGCTTTAAGGGCCGAGGGACTTCAGCTCCCAGAATCCCAGGAGCTATTGGCCAACATGGGACTATTGGCCAACATGGCTGAGGCTTCTGGGAGCTGAAGTCCCTCGGCCCTTAAAGGGGAAAGGTTGCCTACCCCTGCTCTAAAACATTTGGAAGGCTCAGGCTGGGAAGATTTGGGTTGATATCACCACTCTGCCAGGAAGTGGCAAGATTAAATTTGCCACTGAGTATCAGATATGATTTGAAGGCATATAACAGCAGCAGCAGCAATAACAGTGTTGAGATACTAGAACAAATCAAGCCTGAACTCTCCCTAGAAGCCAAGATGACTAAACTGAGACAGCTGTAGTTTGGCTGTATCATGAGAAGATATGAGTCACTAGAAAAGGCAAAAGACAATAATGCTTGGTAAGGTAGAAGGCTAGTAGGAAAAGAGGAAGATCACATTCCAGATGGACAGGTTCAATCAAGAAAGCCACAGTCCTGAGTCTGTAAGACCTGAGCTGGGCTGTTGAGGATAGGGTGAACTGGAGGTCTCTCATTCATAGGATTACCTTAAATTGAAGTTGACTTGATGGTAGTTAACAACAACACTTTCTCTCAGCATAATCTACCTTTCAGGGTTGTTGTGAGGATAAAAGGGATAGGTGCGGAAAGAGAACTATGCATACTGCCTTGAGGTCCTTGGAAGATGGATGGGATTATACATGTTAAAAATTAGTAATCTAGATGCATGAACACTGAGCACATGTTATTGTTTTGCACAAGTCTTGGAAATGATTCCTTGATGTAATATCATGAGGGAAAGAAAGACAGCTTTATAAAATTCCTCCTCCTCTAAAACAGGACCCTGAAGACTGAGAAACACACACACACACACACACATGTACGTTCATAATTTATAGCTCTCTAGTTGAATGAGCTAGATCATCATGAATTTAAAACATCTGGGCTGGAATTAGGCATCTTAATCTCCCCCTTCACTCTGTTTACAGCTGTTATCCTTATCTCTCTTCTCCTCCCCAGCCTCAAAAGTTTTGAACTCATGACTGCTGTTAAGCAAGGAGGCTTGCTCAACTAACTAGTGGGCTAAGAATAGCCAGGGTCCACGAAATCACACGCATCAGGAAGTGGAGAGTACTTGGAAAGTAAGAGAAGAATGCCGTAACAGGATGTGGGGAGGGAAGCCATGTGCAACATGCATCTCAGAGACTCTAGGAGGCCAATTGTGGCAGATTGGGTTTTCTTGAGTAAGCACTGGGTGCAAACATGGCTTACGGGGACTGCACACGTGTCGTACATGACTCCTACTTTCATTCCTAAATTGGTCAAAGGGAAAGGGAGAAACTATCTTAGAGTTCTCAGGTTCACTCACATTTTATATGCAGTCCTAAATCCCATGTGGTCATGGACATCTGCTGTGTCCCACTCAGGCTACAAGTCAAAAAGCAGAACCTACATTCAGGGGAAGACAATGGCAAACCTCCTCTGAACAAATATTTTCAAGAAAACCCCATGATAGTTTTCCCTTAGGGTCAATGTAAGTCAGAAACAACCTGAAGGCACACAACAACAACAAACATCACCACAACAACCAAATGGAGTTGTAAGTTTCACAAACTAATCCATTTGGATGACAACTGGTCTTCTGGGCTAGTCAGCATAAGTGAATCAGTATGGATGATGCTCACAACTCTCTATCAGGAACTCCCATCATTGACTAATGAGTAGTTCCAGACAACCATCAGGAAATATTTTTGGCCACATGCAGGATGGGTAAAATGGAGATCTACAAGCCAGAGAGCTAAAGAACAGAGCATCTCCTTTTGACAGAGAACACAACCTACCTCTTGTTCATGAGAATATCAAGAGTGGGCACAATGCCTGCTTGGCTATGATGAATAGGGTTAGTGGCCCTATTATCAGGCAGTGAGGCAACTGCTTCAAATGCTGAGAGGTACTGATGACATCTTCCTCCCCCACCCCCAGCTCTTCCTAAGCTCTTGCTATTATCATAACTTGTGGGGGGGGCAAAACTGCATGTGCCACACTAACTGTCTTCTCTCTTTAAAGCAGCCTGGTTCCTTCAGGTGTGGTGGGCAAAGACCAACCAGTTGCCAGTGCTGAGGTCAAGCTGCAACTGCCAGGCCAGTTGGCTTCACTACACTGACAGAGGGGGAGACATGTTGTCCTTTGCCACAGGCAGTAAATTATCTTGGGCTGTCTCTGAGTGTGGAAACTTGATATAGGCAGTTAATGGCAACCTACTTGATTGGGAGTGCAAATATATGGAGGGAGGGGAGAGCAGCTTAGGCAATAGACAGATCAGGGGAACATTTGCCCATCTCAAGCTTTTAGTGTCATCTTGAAGGAATGGGACAATGAGCAGAGAGAACTCATAAGCATATAAGAAAAGCTTCTGTCACTTCTCTTACCATCTGTTTTAATTATCTTCCAACATCAGTTCTCAATCTCTTTTCCTTTAACCCAATCTCATAGTAATGGACAACCTTGGACATGTTTACTCAAGTGTGATTCCTATCACACACAACAGGGTTTACTCTCAGATAACTGCATACAGAATCACAACCTAAGTTTCCTATGAACTTGATCACACATTCCTTTATGCCTTTCCAATTGCCACTTTGTATTCTTCTGAGTTCAGGGGTTAAAATAGTGATTTGTTTAAATACAGGCTGGAGAACTTGCGATCCTCCAGATGTTACTGGCCTCCAACTCCTATCAATCCCAACCAGCACAAATGATGGTTGGAGATGGTGGAAGTTGTACTCTACCACACCCAGAAGGCATTCTTGGTTTAAGCAGTGATAACTGGAGTATGCAACATGTTCCTAGATGGATGAAATATCATTCTGGGTGATTATGGCTGCTGCCACACTGCAGAATCAATGCAGTTTTAACCTCAGGAAACTGCTGTCAATCAGAACAAACAGTACATGGATTGTCAGTCTATTGATGTGTGTGTGTGTGTGTGTGTGTGTGTTGTGTGCCTTCATATCATTTCCAGCTTATGATAAACCTAAGGTGAACCTATCATGGGGTTTTCTCAGCAGGATTTGTTCAGAGGAGGCTTGCCATTGGCTTCCTCTGAGGCTGAGAGCATGTGACTTGCCCAAGGTCACTCAGTGGGTTTCATGGCTGAGCAGGGAATCAAACTCTGGTCTCTAGAGTTGTAGTCCAATACTCAAACCACTAAACCATGAGGCAGTTTTTCGAGGGGTTATCATAAAGTTTTAATTATCACCTTTTTTAAAAAATGGCAGAAAGTCAAGACAAATCTGGATGGTGACTACGTAGAGATAAGTTAACAACCACAAATCAAAACAAACTTTCTGTCAAAAAATTTTAAAGGATATAATTAAAACTTTATGATACCCACTCGTATAAGCCATCATCAGCAAATCTGTACACCACATTTTCTAGAATACATTGTGCTGAAAGCAACTACAAAACCTATATGCAATAATGCAAGTGCTGCTATAATACAGTAAAACCACAACTATAAGTCAATCACATTTCATTTAAAACACATCAAACTCTTCAATCAACACAACACATGTGTAGGTTAGCTAACCATATCCAAGACCAAGAGCATCAGCATTATGATTCCATTAAGCACTATACTTTCCTTCATTAACATGATCACATCAAAAACAGGGTTGGTGTGATTAGGTCCTACAACAATAGCATTACTAATATATTGTGTTTTACAAAAATAACATCAATGACAGCAGCAAAGAGTCTTTCCTTCTTCTCTCAGACATACAGAATTTGCTTTGAGAGCAGTCACAGTCTTTTGCCAAAGGCAAAGAGAAGCAGCAAACAGGACTATTATCATGTGTGTTGTCTGTCTATGTGCCTGATCTCTCCAAATCACCCTCCCATACACTTGAATTCCCCATTTCCCAGCTTTTGCAGATAGCATCAGCTACCACTGCTGCAACTCAAACCACATAGTTTTGCACATCTGAACACATTGTTGGGACAACAGGCTGTTTGCCTGATTCCACTTTTCAAAAAGAGCTATGTGCAGTTGTGTTTACTTACATTCTTAAAGGTTGGGAGAAAGTCACTGCAAGCTTTCAAATGAGAAGAACCACTTAATTGGGTTTCTTTTTTCTTTTTCTTTATGTGAATGAAAACAATGGCAGGGTGTTGGTGCAGAGATTAACAATTGTCCAGATCATGGAAAGTTACTTTTTACAAATGAAGGTAACAATATTCTGAAGCCACTCATAAGTGTGCAGTAAAAATCAGAGCACAATCTTGCCTAAACTTTTCAAGTACAGTATGGCATTATATTCACTTGTATCATTATGTTCCGTCTTCTTACAGTAAAAGACTGTATAGTCAAATGATCTCAAAATATTGGTTCCCCAATTTGAATCTGAGCAATGGAAAAAGATGTGGACAAAGAGTTTGAAATTCACATTGAGTTATGGCTTAATGGAGACTTTTTAACAAATTTTCATAAAGTTATGTAAGTGAACTGTATGGCCCATGGAGGGTTTGAAGCAGAACCTGCCAGAGTTGACCACACTGGTACAGACTCTTCTTCCTGGAAATATGGCAACCAGCCCATCTACCCTAGCCAAAACCCCTATACAGGCATAACCCAGTTAACAAAACCTCTGAGAAAGAAGCTTCCTTTTACAAAGTCTTTTTATGTCTGTTTTTTCATCATTGTCCTCTGTCCAGCAGAATTTTTAAGCAGGATTAACACTGGACAAATGGTGATGTAATGCTGGAGAAACACCAGGCTTTTGGTGTTGGGATGCAGAACCATGTCTCTAGCAAACAACACAGTAAAGCTTGAGTGGGGAAAGAGTAGGATTATACTCTAGCCAACCCAACGACAGCCATGTATGCTTGCTTACAACAGGCAAGGTAAACAGCAAATGCCTCTGGGATCCTTTAATGGGCATATGTAAATAGCAGAATGGGGTGGGTGGGGTGGGTGGGGAAGAGAGCAGATAAGCCTCACCAGCTCCCCCACCCCCAGCATGTTAAAAAGTTAGAAAGCTTTAGATTTGGCCAACAGAATGAAAACTATAATATTGTTGGTTATTATCTTTAAAGTCCTACATGGCTTGGGCCCAAGTTACTTGAAGGAACGCCTCTCCCCACATAATCTGCCCCGCACTCTCAGAACATCTGGGAAGTATTTATTAGATCAAACTCTACTTCCCATAGATCACTCACGGCCACAGCCCCAAGATTATGGAACAGCCTGCAGGAGGAGATCCGTCTTATCACTACGCTAGATACCTTTAAAAAGGCACTTAAGACGGAGCTCTTCCAGTGGGCCTAGCCATCTGATCTTCTGGATTTCTAGACTCTGATGATGATTAACTATTTTATTTTATTTTTTATTTTATTTTATTCTAATATATTATATTATATTATATTAT